CTGCTATAGCCCATCTGTTCACCTGCATACCTTAGTTGCAACAGCTAAACTCTGACATCAAAATAGGCATAAAGTTATTTTCACACAACAAGCGGCTGCTCACTGGAAATTTTCTCCTTTTCAAACTGTTCTCTGTGAGCCCTAAAGGTAGTTATGTGGGAAAAACCCAGTAGATCATCAGTTTCTGAAACACCCAGATGAACCCATTATGTTCAAAGTCACTTAAATTGTCTTTCTGATCCTCAGTTTGAGGGTTGAATATGTCTACATTCACAAAAGCATGTTGCCACATGATTGCTGGATATTTACGTTAATGAGCAGCTGTACAGCTGTACCTAATAAAATGGACACGGAGTAAATAAACGTTGCAGTCCTTTAAAATGTCTGCTGTGCGTGAGAAAATGTGCAAGGATTTTTTTCCCCTCTTCTTCTGGACCATTAAGAGAAGCGAAGGGCGAATAAACGCTCCGTGTGTGAGGGAAATACTGACTTTGGCCACCAGAGGTCACTATTCGCTCACTGAGGATCGTGTGTAATTAATTGTAAAGTAGTTACAGGCAGGGTTTGAACACAAACGCAGAAAGAAACGAAGAAAAGACGAAAAAAAAATCACCCAGACGACATGTGGGCGGCACGTGGGCGGAGGCGGCTTGACAGCTGCTGGGAGCCGCGTGTGACGTGTCCACGCCTACGCGTCACCTCACAGGTGAGCTCGCTTAAAAGTTAATGAGCGTCACGCGCTGTCAAACGAGAGAACGCGGGTAACGCTGCGAAGGTGGTCGCGATCCGTCGACTTCATCAGGAGAGGAAAGAAGTTGTGAAATGAATTATGAGTGACTCAGAGCAGCAACACGTAAGTCTGTTTCAACCTGCTGCTCTTTAATGTGTGTGCTTTAATCAGGCAGCCATCGCATGCCCGGAATGAACAGATGGTGAAAGTTGGATTGAAAACTCCACACGTGTTGTTGCGCGATTTATTTATTTGTTGGCCTATTTGCTGTTTAGAAACACTCTCTTCATTAATAAATCTTAAAAAGCACTCTGTCTCCACGCACCAGGATGTGGTGCAGGTGTGCGAGCCGCAGTGGCCTGAGAATGGAGAGGACTGGAGTGATGGAGAAGGTGGGACGGATATGGACTCGGGGCTTCTGCAGGCCATGGCCGAGGAAGATGAGGAGATAAACGTCCACAACGAGGAGACGTTTGGGATGGGTGTGTAACTTGTGCTTACAGGTGTTCTTCTTTTAAACTTCTTTGCCCCCCCACGTGTCTGTGTGTTAAACGTGAGCTTTTACTATCAAAAAATAATGTAAGCATCCAGCATGATAATTTGGCTTTCCAACTTAAAACTGAGGCTTAATAGCACTAAAAATGTTTATCTTACAGGTCAGATTAAGGTTAAGTGGAAAGAAATTAGTCGTCTTCTTTCAGCTGCTCCTTTAGGTGTCACACCAACCTCCTTCACTACATCCAAAAACCTCCTTTTGTTGTTTCTTCCTCGCTCCATCTTCAACATCCAAACCATCTCAGCGTCTCCTCTCTGCAACTTTGTCTCCAAACCGCTCAACCTGAGCTGTGAAGATCTTAAAATGTTCAGCTCCAGCTCAGCCTCCTTGATCCCTTTTTATTGTGCACAGTCCTCTTTGACGTAGCTTAAATGCACGACGGCTCATAAGGTGCTGCCTTTAGGGTTGAATCGGGCTTTGTTGGGTAATGTGTGCTTGTTTGGCTGCTGTGCTCGAACCCAGGGTTGTGAAACATACGGCCCAGGGGCCTGAATAGACTCCGGTCCAATAAAAGTTGGGGAGCTTTACCTGTTCGCAAACCCTGCCATTTTTACTCATATGATACCTTAGAGTAATAGGCAAGGTTATTATAGTTAAACTGAAAAATGAAATGTTAAAAAACACTTGGTTGATTAAAAGAAAAAAAGGAAAAACTTGACTTTTGGGGCCAAAAGATTTCAGGAAACCTCTGCAGCCTTTAGAGGACTTTTCTGGTTCTGACCACTTAAAAGAAATATGTGAAGTTGCATTTTTGCATCGTTTTTATAGTGTTACTGGGAATCTAACCTGTTAACCTATCAGAAAGCAGAGTTTCCACATCTGTTTCTCTTTGTTCCCTGCCTGCATGTCTAGATTTGGATGCAAACGGGACCACAGAAGAGTCCAGCAGCAGCCTTCAGTTTGGAGAGGCTCCGCCTTCGCCGCCACCGCCGCCACCTGCAACACCCCCTCCCCCACAGCCCAAACCTCGGTCTCCCCGCAGAGCCCCGTCGCCTCCCCGACAGAAGCTGCAGTATTTTCCGTGGGCTTCCTCGAGGCAGCGCGGCAGAAGTAGGGGACAGAGAGCAGCTCTGGGCAGGGGGCAGATGTTTGAAGACCCAGCTGTGATGAGAATAATCGAGGGCCGACCGAGCCTTAAGGTGACAAAGATGAATCTGTGTGTTGTCAGAAAATTGCACTAAAAATGTTAAAATCCTCCGTTTGATCCATTTTTTGCTCTTTTAAGAGTCTTGACAGTGCCATAGTGGACTGCGGGACCACCATGTACCAGCGTCCCTTTGAGGATGATGTAAGTGCCAACTTTTAATCCTTTTACTAAACTTTGTTTTTCTTCTGTGGTGCTGATGCTTCTCTTCCATGTTTGTTTTCCATCCTAGATGATGATGTCCTCTTACAGAAAAACCAGAAGAACCTCAGGATCCATACTTGAGGTTATGATCACTTAAGAATGTGTTGTACATATAATGACAAGTTCATTGTATTTTTATCGTTGTATCTTCCTGTGTTCTGTAGGACAGTGCTATAGTGTGTGTAATTGGGCACAGAGGTAGAGGTCAGACTCTGAACTCCAACTTTGTTGACTTGCCGTACTCCGCCGGGCCCCTTTATGGGGCCAGGCGAGGGGAATCCAGAGGATTGTACTCCAGAAGACAGTTTGGCCATCGAGGACCCACTCAGGTGGGCAACTGGCTTTTTACCACCTGGATATTTGTGTAACTGGATAGATGCTGTTGATGTGTGTCACTGCTTCTAAACAATCAGCTGACTCACTGTAAATTGTGGACTTCTTCCCTTTTTTAAGTTCTACTTTTTTTTTCATGCAGGTGTACCCACCCATAGTACCAAGATCCCCCCTCTTCCCACGTCAGCCACTGACCCCACGCCAGCATTACAATCAGGTTGATTTCAGTATTGCTCACCCCTTCATTTCTGTGTTTTTGTGCAGATCTGATTTGATCTTGACTTTTATTTTGTACTAAAGCAGACCAGGGCATTCATGTTTCCTCCAACCCACCCCTGCCCCTCGACGCCTCAGACTCCCAAAATGATGCAACTTCGCTTCGGAGCCAACTCACCAAGGCCATCCCCTTTTTACAGCCCCTCTAATCCAGTACAGCCTTTCAGGTGCTTGGCGTTAATGTTGCTGAAACCGGTTTGGTCAACAAAATGTAGAGTCTGTTAAACTCTGACTATAAATTTTGAGTTCATGAAGTTTGAGATGCAAAAGTCCAAGATGAGCATCACGGTGGCTCACTGTTGGGTGTGACCTGGGCGGGGCCCTTTCTGTGTGAGGTTTGCACCAGAGAACATGTTAGTTTAAAGCTGCCTCTCATAGTTTAGGACTCTTTAAAAAAGACTTTTAATCTGTTTAAATAAAAGTTTGAGTATTGTGTGTCATGCATAAATATCAGTGGTGCTAATGTTTATCTGCAAGGTACAGGCAGATGTTCTTGGATGTATAAGCCTTCTGGAAATGAAAGATGGAGATTTCATATATATAAATGCATCTTCTCTTTATGTGCTCATAACCAAGCACAGTCTGAGATTTCATGCATACTGATGAGACAGTTCTCTAACCAGTAGGTACCCTGGTCCAGCCACGCAGCTCCATCCCCAACACAAACGACTGCTTAGTCAAAAACAGCGGCTATTCCAAAGGTTGGTGCACGGAGTGAAGAGTTTGATCGTGTTGGGTCATTCGCTATACTTACGGCCAAATCTGACCTGCTTATAGAAAGCCAGAGGGCTGGGATCCGTACTGTAACATTATGACGGCCAAAGAAAAGGAGTGGATCACCCGGCTGCAGATGATCCAGCTGCAAAGTGAGAATCCTTACCTTGAAGACTACTACTATCAGGTAGGAAATAAAAGCTTTGCTCTTAAATTTTTTGATGGGAGAGGGGAAGCGAAGAAGCATTTCATTTTTGATTGCCGGTGAACCTTTAAACTGTTACAGGAGTACTATCGTCGAATAGAATCAAAGATGGCCGAAGAGGAGTTGGGCATCAGGAGCAAGAGGGAGCCACCTAAGCTCACCACGCCTTACATCAAAAAAACAGACTCCTACACACCGGGTTAGTGAGGCACAGGCTGCGTTTCTCATTGACTGTTGAGATGCTTGTACCAGAATTTGCCCGTGAGAGTAGGAGAGACATTATCTCCACACTGCTTTGATTTAACAAACATTTTTCCCTCCAGCTGCTGTTGGACTCGTTTGAGTCAGTGAATAGTGCATGCCGGTAGTCCTGCCTTTTTGAATGTTTTTGGAGGTGCATGAGGCCTAAAATGCTTCCATCCTAAAACATTTGTCTTATAGATGCCTTATTTTTGATCCTTCTGAATGCATCTGTTTCTACAGGGGTTGCTCTGCTTATGTGTAAGAGTCTCTTGTTCTTGCAGTGGTGCACATTGAAGGCTCTTTGGGTCAAGTTGCAGTTTCCACGTGTTACTCTCCTCGCCGAGCCATCAGTGCTGTTCATGCAGTCCAGCCTCAGGGTCTGCTTGAGGTGATTGTGTATTTTGGAGGTTCCCTGTGTTTGAGTGTTTTCGGTCTGCCTTTCCTGCTACTGACCTTTATTTCCTCTCATTTAAGGATCAGAAAGACACCAGACTACAGCGATTAGACATCCTTAACAAAATAGAAAAGGTACCTGATTATGACTTGATTTGACACAGCAGTGAGGGGTTTTTTTTTTTTTTTTTTTTTTTTGTTTTTTTTTTTTTGGCTGCTTCTTTGTAAAATGGCTTCTGTCCTGCAGTTGTTCATGGTTCTGTTAGAGGTGGAGGAAACTGAGAGGATGAAAACTCCATTGTTGTCCGAAGCAGAAGAAAGGAGGTTGGTGGAGAAGATTCAGAGGAAAGTGGAGCACATCTACTCCCAGCTGCAGCACCACAATCCCCTGTGAGTCATGCAGTTTGTCATTTAATGCATCCTAACACGTGACTTCATCGTTTTAAACACTTTAAAAATTTTTGATGCAGGGACTCGGAAGGGGACTTCATTCCTTTTCTGCTCGTCTCCAAAGGCAAAAAGCTCGTCGCCCGTCTGCTGCCGTTCTTGAAACACGATTCTGCACTAAAAATCTTGCGTGTTGTCACCACCAACCTACCAACACTGATGAGCAGAGACGCAGACGAGGTAGGGCAGCTTTAGCTGTGCAAAAGGAAATGTAAGCTGAATGGTCTGCTTAGCAACACCACTTGGTGATATATTTATTTTTGGTTCTTGTTTGGTTTCCTGATGTTACTCAGCCTCTACCAGTTACAGCTGGTTTTACAGTCTACACGGACGGGGTGAGATTGAAGAATATATTGAGCCTTGATATATTCCAGTTACAGGAGAGATTTGCAAATGGAAAAAAAAAACAATTGGTCTTCTACAGGCCTACTTGGCACAGCTCACCTATAAACACACAAGGCTGGAGTTATGCACATAAATGACAAACATCAAGTGTCTATAAAAATGACTGGGCTTAATCTTGTCTTTTCAGACCCTTCCTGTGCTTTACCCACCTCTTCGAAATGTGATCGGTGGGCTGGCGTTCAGTCAGCTCATTGGCGTCCTCAAAGATCTGACCTCTTTGGAGTCTCTAACGACATACGAGTGTCTTGAGCTGGCATGTCAGAACAAGGTCTGTGCTTTTGTTTTTGTGTTCTGACCTACAAGGCCCTGAAAGTTCAACTTACCCAGGATGACATCCTATTTTCTGGCTTCACTTATCCTGACACGGTGGCTTAACTTAACTAGTTGATAGTCAAGTTAAGCCGCGGTTCATCAGTGGCTATGAGCACATTTACATGAAGCATGGTGTTGTAGCATCTGACCAAGCACAATATCGTTAGTGTATATTTGAGTAAGCGAGGCTAACGGCAGTGAATCCAGGGTTAACCCTGAAGTTGCCTGGATAGTGGTGCAGGTCTTTGTTCTGGTTGGTGGATTTCTCTTCTCCCTTTCAGTTCGGCCTGTCCTTGCTGTACGCTCTGCTCTCCCAAGGAGAGAAGCTGCTGTCCTCGGGTGTTCCTCTAGAGCCCAGCATCGGGGACTTTGAGACCTGGTGGGAGTCTTTTAGGTTTTAATATCAAATGAAGTGACGGGTCTAAGCTTACTCCTGAGACTGATGTTTTCTCTTTTAGGACTGACATCATATTCCAGGTGGCAGGACAACTATCCCAGTGTTCGCTGGTGGAGCCGCTCCTTCTGCCCTCAAACCTGCTCACTCTCTTCTGCCGTTACCTGGACAAGCGTACGGTGCATCAGCTGAAAAGCAACATGGAGTAGGTTCTTTTTGCTTCAGAGGATGACAATTTAAATTGCTTTAATAGAACTATTGTGGACGTGGATGCAAACATCACCAAATATCTTCATTCAGGTCTGTTACTGGATGCCTGGCTCTTCCATCTTAAGGTGGACAGCGGTGGCTGGTGTTCTATTGATGACCAGGATGCTGTGAGCACTAGAGTGAAAGGAGGCGAGGCACAAACCCCCCTCGGTGCTCATTGAAACGGACGCTATATATGTGTATATTTAATCTCCTTTGACCTTTTTGATTCTTATTCCCTCCCCTCACCCGTTCCCTCACATTCTTTTTGCACTTGAACGGTTTCCCTGTTTTGTTTTGTTTTCCTTTTATCTGATCATCTGACTTTCCTCACTGGTTTCCAGTAGGTTACATCAGCGTTACAATGAAATCCGAACCCTCCCATTTTCCCGATTTAGACCTTAAACCTCTACATTTAGATTCAGTCACTTCTAAATGTGCTGTTTCACACTTGGTGACCAGGGTGTGGATTGTATAGTAGTGTATGATTGTACAGCTGAACCAATATGTTGACCATTTGAAAACCATTTAAGGACGTTGTCGTGGCCCATCAATGTGCCGTGCAGTTTGGGGTTTTGTTGAAGGGCTTGCATTGTTTATACTAGTAATGAATGTAATAGGATACATTTGTAAATTTCTATCTGAAGGTTTATGTTATGAAGAGGGATTTTATTTATTCATTTGGAAACAGGAATAATTTAAACTGCACCTTTGTACAGCACTTGCAATATAAATAAAAAAACTTTGAAATTGCTCAAGTCTGTAGAAATGAAGTGAAATGATTTATTTTTGTGCTCCTTGCAGTCTTAAAGGTTCCTGCTGCTCTCATCAGACCTCATCTTTGTGTTATCTTGGACTTCTTAAATGCTCCCTGGCTATGGTCCACTCATCACAGTGGACTGTCTGCTTCTCTCACCCTACCCTCAGCATCCTCCTGTCACACAAACTCTCTGCATGTCACTTAACTCATTCACTGCCATTGACGTCTATAGCCGTCAATTGCAGTGAATGAGTCAATGGGTTTAACTCATTCACTGCCAATGGCTGGCAGTGAATGAGTTAACTACACCCATGAGTCTGTCTTCCTCTTTTCCTCCTGCCTGGCATCTCTGTGGGTCAGTATGTCCACTTTCCCTCCTGTGGACATGTCCAAACCACCTCAGCCTTACTTTTTTGTTTCTTTTCTTCCCAGTGGCACAGTATTCAAACCAGACATTGCAGCATGTTTTGTTACACTCTTGTAAAGCTTCTTTCGCTCTTGCTGCGATCATTGTCAGAAATCGCCCCTGGCACGCCTCTTCACTCACTCCACCCTGCCTGCACTCCTTTTCACCTTTCTTGTGCACTGCCTGTTGCTTTGGATGGTTTGTTCCAGGTATTGAATGTCACCCACATTTGCTACTTCTGCTTCCTGCAGCTTTACTGTTACATACTCACACTGGAGATCAGTGTTTGCAAATATCAGCCCAGGGCCATTCCCACCTGACCTCCTGTGTCAGCCTGTCCATCACCATGCATACACGAAGGGGCTCGGAGCCGATTCCTGATGTAATCCAGCCTCATCTGTCACTCCTGACTTCCTCATACCACACAGTTCCTCGCTTAACAGCCTGTCATGTCTTCTGGACAGCCTCTGTACTTTTACATTAACACATTCAAAGTAATTGTAACATCTGCATGTTTTATCAAAGACACTTTTAAAGAATCTGTTTTGTAGCAGCCTGATATGACAAAACGGCGGATTTATGGAATGAATTCAAATATATCACCTAAAGAAGTTTTAATAAAAAATTATTTAACAGCAGTGGGAGGAGATTCCCAGGCACAGTGATTGAGATGTGGTGTCAGCATCAATCAGGCAAACTAAGTGATTATAATGTGCATTACACGTTTTGCTGTTATTCCTGGTAATACTGTTTGCAAGTGGTTGCACTAGCTAAGTGCTAGACAGTTTCCTGGAGGTGGAGGCCTGTTGACCGAGCACAGGTTTTCTCTAATTTAACTAAGATGGATGGGGGCAGGAAACATGAACGATGACTCACACTACAGCATTTATAGGCTAAGCTAATTTAGCTTGCCTTTAGACATTTCTGCTGGCTCTGCATATCGTTGGTGATCTCACTGCCCCGTCCATCTCTACAGTCTTGAGTATGCAGATCACAGAGAAAGCTATTAAGACTGGCCCTAAAATTACACCTGAAGTGGACTGTTGCATATATTTTTGTTTTTAAGAGCGCATTTTATTTTATTTGATATCCATCGATCTAATTGAAGAAGCCTTCTAAAACTTTTTAAAAACTGGTTTTCTTTTTTTTTAAGTGCTTAAGTGTATTTCAAGTATTTCACATTTGATCTTTCCCTTAAACTCCTGCTCAGACCTCTCTCAGCTGTTGCCAGTGATGTAAGGTGAGGCTGGATTACCAGCACCAACTCCTGTCAGATGCTCGTGTTCAAAGATTCCTCCTCCCTGGCTGTTAACCAAACGCTGACGTTGATCCTCGCTGGCCAGGCTGCCTCTACCAGCTGCAGGATCAACATGTGGCAGACATGGGTGTGTGCAGTCAGAGAATCCCTGCTGAACAAAAGCTGCTCTGTGGTCCCGATCACAGTTGTTTTTTTTTTTTTTTAATGGCACACAGAGCAAGACGCCAACATCCTGACCGCCGTGTCAAACCAAAGTCCACCGCAGAAGTGCAGTAAAGGCAGTTTAGGAATGAACTAGGGGTCGGCATCTGTGTTTAGAGGGATTTGTTTGCTGTGATGGTACAAGTGCTGAAACCGCAATCAATCAGGAGACTGAAGAAACTACTAAAAGTGTCTCTGACAGTTTTTTTTTCCCCCAAGTTTGTTGCTCTGTATGTTATCAGTGTGCAGGGATCTCCTTAATTTGGTCATTTTGAGCACACAGATCTGGTTGTGAGCAGAGAAGGGCTTTTGTCATCTTCTGTTTAAACCTTCTCTTTATGAGGGGCAGCCTATGAGAAGAAAGTTGGCGTTAATATGGAGAGGAGCGGAAACAGTTTCCAACAGTGGATGAACTGTGGCTCTGTATAAGGTAAATAAGGGTGATTCTGAGCTGTGAATAAGCTTTAGAAAACGTTGGGTCTAATAATCTAAAAAGCCTTCAGTTTGCAGCGTTGATACTGCCAGAGAAGAGAGAGAGAGAGATCGTATTTCCCCTATACTGGCTTCTCTTCACTGGGTCCCAGTTAAATCTAGAACTGATTTAAAAACCTTTCTCCTTACAACTAAAGTCTTGAATAATCAGTGAAAATAATGTCTTAAATGTTAGTTTGTAAAAGTAAAATGTGAGGCAGGTCCTTCAGCTTTCAGGTCTCCTGTCGAACCAGCTCCCAGTTTGGGATTCAGGAAACGGGCAGCTAAAAACATTCTGGCTGGATCGGTGGCCCTGAACTATCCTGTAGTTATACCACTACAGGCTCAGACTGCTGCAGGACATCCCATCATCCACTGAGCATTTCTTCTGCATCATTAGTCACTCCTCAGCTGTTCATTTAGCTCTTCAGCATATCATTAATGTTTCTCTTCACTCTCACATGGTGTGTCTCCATAATCTCTAACATGATCTCTGGTAATCGCTGTTTCCCCAACAATACTGGGGAAACGGGGATTGATTCAGAAAACGCGATTTACTGCTGAACTCAAACAAGGAGTACAAAAACTGGAGCCAGGAATCAGAATACAAGGAGTCATCAGGGAAACCGATAATTAATGAGACAACTCCAGATGGCTGCCGGTCCCTGACCCTGATTCCAGTGGATGCTTCTTCCTGTTAAAAAGGAGTTCTTCCTCCCCACTGTCCCCCATTGCTTTATCATACAGAATCACTTAACCTGAAGTGACTTTTTTTTTGTGTGTGAATCAGCACTATATGAATGAAATTGAATTAATTATTAACATCTTATGGTGGATAAAGTAAATAAATGTAAAAAAAGAAATAAACTTGTGGATTAGCTGATAACTATAACAGTTATAAATTGTCTTAATACACAATATGTAAATAGGTATCATATAAGAACATATAAGGGCCTTGTTATTACTAATACTTATCACAAGAACCTACAGGTGAAGCTTTGGTAGCTGAGTGATCAGTGATGAAGTGAAAGACACATTCATTACCAGGTGGTGAAAAGCTGGCTCAGTTTGTCCAGAAGCCAAGTATGTGAGAGGTCTGGGTGGGCTGGGAAGTGAGACATTAACCTCTTCTTGACCCCACAGGAAGAGGATTTGGACTTTAGGTGAGGAATCTGTGCGAAAGGTGAGAGATCTTTCTCTTTTTAGTCACTTTAAACACACATGAAGCCGCTCTGTGTGGAGGCCAGGACTGTGAAGACGTTCTAGGCTGAAAGAGATGTGGAAAAAAGCACCAAGCTCACTTCACTCAAGTTTCCATCATCATTATCTCTGCCAGCTGCCTACTCTGCATATGGAAGTGATGTCATTATTGTCCATTCAAAAATAAGGCTTCATTCAGAGGGGCTGCATGTTGAGCTTTCTGTTTGTGACTTATAGAAGTTTTGGTCTGTGGAAATATTTACCGAAGTAACCGTATTTTCTTTCTTTAATCTAAACACAGAGCTATAATGCTGCCTATTCATGTCACTGCATGCATAGCTTTAGTTTGGCTGTGTTCTGTCACTGTGGTGCAGCAATTTGAATGATGGATTATATTTACATTAATCAGTCCTTCCATAGTTGGCTGCACGGATGAGGCTCAGTTCCTGTCCATGGTTGTTTTTATGCTGTACGACGGTGCTTTTGTAATCCAAGAGTGACCGGTGTCGTCGTCTACCTGCTATTTTGGCAAACCTTCAGGGAAACATCATTCATGCTATAGACACATAAGTAACTGCACTGACGACTGTTCACCCGTTTACATCGCAAAACTGCAGGCACTGTGGAAATAGAGCAACTACAGCTGAATGTTTGTCACTATTAAAGGATTAGATGTGGTTGAGAGTAGTTTTGGAAATGTCACTGATGTTAGTAGGAAAAAAGTTTCTAATCCTAATACATTTATAATTCATAAAAACATCCATCCATATAATTATGGAAAAAAGAAAGTGCACCTCTGTAAGTTCTAATATTTCACATATTAGGACATTAAATATCATGTTGTCCTAAGCAGGTCTTAACTCTTCAGATGAACACTGGGTTATTATTTAAATACATCCTCTCTGCTTCTAAAGAAATTCATGTTGCAGGCAGGTGCTGATAATCAAATGCGTTTGATTAACTGATCATCAGTTTGTGTGGGCACCTCTGTGAAAGCAGAGGTTTTGACATTTTGCTCGTTTGGAGCATTCAGGTGCGTGTTAACACAGTGGGAAGGTGAAAAGACATTAGCAGCGATTGTTGGTGAAGTCCATCATTTTATAGTTGGAACAAGTAGTTTCAAGACAGCTGCCAATCTTTACAGGAGTGGACCCCCCCCCCCCAAAAAAAAAAAAAAAATTACCTCAAGGTCAGACATGCAATACTCAGGGAAACTGGAAAAAACCAAGAGCTACAGCTCACATGTCTCAGGAAGCATGTTAAATGTTAAAGTTCCTGACAGTACAATTATAATAATTAAGTATGGCTTGTTTGGAAAGTGGAGGCCATAATGCACAGTGACATGTTTGGCAAAGAAAAAAACACAAACAGAACATATTAACTGTCAGACACGGTGATGGAGGGGTGATGGTTTGGGCTTGTTTTGCAGCCACAGGATTTGGGCACCTTGTCGTCAC